ATCTTCCCAGGGATGGATGTCAGGCTGATTGGCCTGTAGTTCCCTGGACCCTTCCTTCCTTCCTTTTTTGAAGATTGGGACCACATCAGCTCTTTTCCAGTCTTCAGACACCTCACCCAAGTGCCATGAGTTCTGAAATATCTTTGCCATAGGGAGTGCTATGATGTCTGCCAGCTCCTTCAAGACTCCTGGGTGCATTCTGTCCAGGCCTGAGGACTTATGGACATCTGGCCTTTTGAGGTGTTCCCTCACCTGATGGACGTCAATTATGGGACCATCTTCCACTCCCTGGAAGTTGTGTGTTCTGTCTAATACTGTGACCCCTTTGGGTGGATGGAAAACTGATGCAAAGTATTTGTTTAGGAGATTGGCCTTTTCTTGGGCATCAGACATCAGCTGCCCCATCTACTTACTGTGGATGCATGAAAGAAAGTGGGAAAATAAAAGAAAAATTAAGTTTTCTGCTTGTATTTTATGAAGTGCCCTTTTTCTTGCACATATATAGTCGCTTTTTATTTAAAATATGTAAATCAATCTAAGGTTCATTCAGAAATGTTATTATAAAATGTGTGTATGAATGAAAAGAAATTGAAGACATCTATGTAAAAATGTACAGTAAAAGCTGTGTTAAGTGGCATGAGTGGGGTCAGGGGGGTGCCGGGTACCTAAAAATTCTGGTTATCTGAGGCAGGGGTTTTCAACCTTTTTGAAAACCCTTGTGGGGCAGGGGCAGGGGGGCTGGTGATAGCTGCATTTGGAGCAGAGGCAGCACAGGGTGGTGGGTGGCATCAGCAACCCCCCTCCCCCCTACTGCCACGTCAAACCACTTGGCTAGAAATTCTAGTTAATAGAGTATTCTGGATAGTAGAATGCCAGTTAACACAGCTTTTACTGTATTTCTATTACGATATTACTAACTTATAAGTAAACTACATGTTGAGCCCTAGCTATCCATATACTCTTATGCATGCGCATGCGTGCATCCTTGTTCATGAATTCCCTTTAATGTTAGTTATCTATTTAGTAGGAGTTGTACATGTACTTGAAGAATAGAAAATATCTTGGCGACAGTTTACTTGTGGTTTATATTATTGTATTTTAATATATCATCAAGAAAAAGAGCAAGGGAATGTCTTTCAAACTTTCTGTGCTATACAGGAACACCCACAATCAGAACTCCCTCTCCTTATTTCTTGTTAACATGCATTATTCTCCCACTCTACTACTACTTTTCTTGGAACAAAGTTGACATGTACAAAATTCAAGTAAGTTAACAAGGAACAGTACAGTACAAAAGAGGGCTGGCTGGCTGTTTATATGTTGCAATGAGGGCTTGTGGGAGGCATTTCATCTGCAACGGCTAGCCCTCATTTTGTTCAAAAACCTAAAAAAAACCCCAAAACCCTAAAGAAAATATTTTGCCTGAGAAAATAAACCTTCCTTAAGAAATTACCATCATACTGTATTAGACATTTCCATCCAAGGTTAAAAGTGTGTGTGCTACCTTAAACACACACATTTTGATATTGTTTAGTAACCTTTTAATAATTTACTAAGTATATATAGAATCACAGAGTTGGAAGGAATGGACCTTTAAGGTTATCTAGTCTTACCCCCAACTAATGCAACACAATTGGTTAAATCAGCTATATAAAGACCTTAAATAATGAAAAGATACTGTGTTTTAAGCACTTAATAGCATTTCATTTTGTTACAAAGTACAAGTTAGTTGAACATAGGAATTCTTTACATTTACTCAGGGTTGGATTTTAGAGTGAAATGCCTGGGAAGATGATTGAGAAACTGGTTAAAGGCCATTTTTAACAGCCCCTCACTTCTAATTTCTAGGCCCATCTAAGGTGGGATTTTTAACAAGCACACTTTTAAGAGTCCTTGCGTAAGGCACTCAGTCTTGTCTCAAATCTTCGTCAATATTTAGGCTAAGTGTACCAGAGAACTCATAGGATGGCAGGCAGTTTTGCATCACAATACTAGATGTAATAAAAATCTGTATTTCCTTTGCTTCTTGCATAAACATCAATTTCAACTAGCTAAAACAAAATCCGAGCAGGCAATTTTGGTGGGAAAAGGGAGCAAACTATTTGGAAGGGTCGTACCAAATTCAACCATCACCCACGACTGGGGACGCATAGTATCCAATCACAGCAGCACACACATATTCTTTCTTTTGGGACTCTCTGCCTGAATGCAGACATGCAGGCACATGAGGTTTGTGGTGATGCAAACCTCTTTGCAGTGCCACAAACTGCAAAAGTTGCACATTAAATCAGTGCGCAGTGCTGCTACTTTCCAGCCAGCCAGCTGTTCTGCAGTGTGCCTTGAGATGGGGAGCAGGCTCCATGCCCCCCATCTCAAGGCAAACTGCACCCCAGCCAGCTGATCTGAGGCTGGCTGGGGTGCAGTGTGCTTCAGCACAGAGGCTCTACATGCGTCAGCATGGGGGCTCCTCAGCGAGGCCCCTGCACTGAGGCACATGGAGACAGGGGAGCAGCCAGCCCAAGAATGCCTGCTCCCCCACCTCTACATTTGTCCCACATTTGTTGTCTACCCCCCCCCTCAACCAAATTTCCATGTGCTGCTCCCCAGCTGGTCAGCGCACAGGGTGCCTCAGTGCAGGGGATGGCTAGCCCCTGCCAAGACACCCTATGCACCAGCCAGCCAGCCACTGCAGCCACAGGCCAGCAAAGAACACAGACAGGGGTGTGCACCGTGGCCACTACTATTAGTGCCACTACTATTGTGGACCTGGCTTCTGATGCAAAAACAGTAAAATGAATTGTCTTTTATCATCCCCCCTACCCTTCTCCACTGGGGATCAGGCTATGCCACTGCATGAGTTTTTTGTCACTACAATCTCATGTACTATAAACCTTGGCCTGACAAGTGAAGCTGAAGCATGCAGCAGCTCACCTAAGCAGCACAGCAAGGCATAAGCACATCAGGCAGGTTCTTCTCACTTTAAACTCGTTCCTTGTTCAATACTGGATTTAGATCAAAGTCCGAATCATGTTTTTTAATGTCCTCACATGGGTTTTACCTGGATTATTTCAGTGTGGTCTCTGCATTTCGTTAGGGATACCGGAGTTATCATGCCTTGGGTAAAAAATGTATGAGCAAAGGCAGATAGTTCCCGGCAGTTGGCCCATAGCTGAACCTTTACTTTATAAAGTAGAATGGCTTTTCAGCGTCACTGAATTACTTCTCCCACAAAGCTACAACATCGCTCTTATATTACCTCTCCCACAATAATAATTTAATGAATGACTAACCTGACTTCCTGAAGATACTATGATAGTAAGTAATATATAAAATTGCCTGGCATAATACAACAACAGAAGGAACACATATATATTCAGTCTTATGACTGCTTTATAAAATTTTGTTAGTGTTTGGGTACTACAAGTGATGTACACATCTGAAACATGTTTGGTGGACAGATGCTGACAGAATTTAAGTCTGTTACAGAATGATAACTCTTAGTCCAAACTGAACAATAAAGATAGGAGAGAGAGGAACATTTCTTGATTCATAACTTTGAACAGAAAACCAAGATTTATTTCACTTAAAAATATTTTATAATAGTGATAATTTGTATTAGATAGGGGCCATTTCTGAAAATCTTCACTTAAGTTCAACAGATAACGGATATCCAAGTAGTTTGGAAATACAGATTTGAGTCCCGTTTCACAGCTGAATTAACTAAGGCTAACTGACTAGATCAAGATCACTTAAAGTCACTGGAACAACTGAGAATAGAATTACTGGCTGCTTGCAGATGTGGAAAGAAAAACCTGATGCTTTACTTTAAAATTGGCGTGCTCCTGAGGCAAGCCCAGCACACACCCAAGAAGAGGCATCCTGTTAGTTGGACCTGACTTCCCAACATCTGTATCAATTGGGTGCTTTAGTGTGGCTTTTCTGGCACTTTTACCTAATGATTGACTCTGTTTTAGACAAAAGCACCAAAAAGTTCCATTGAAGTGCCTGATCTATACAGACACTGTGAAGCCAGGTCGAAGTAATGCACTGCTGCTTCTGGTCAAGCATGTTTCCCCCACATATCTGTCAGTGCTTTATATGTCCTTGCTCTAGCTACACTAGATGATGGTTGTTCCCACTATTTTTTTTTTAAAACATATGAAGGTATTAGATGTTTTAAGGGAATTTCATTTTTGTAAGAATGTAATCAATTTAAGTTAGTAGCTCACTTCATTGCAATCCACGAAAAAAAACTGGCTGATTTTTTATTCTTGAAAAGTGTCAGTAATATAAAAATCAGAGTCTGCTCCTCTTTCTATATCTCAAAAGTTTTAAGGTTGACAAATCTTGCTCATGATTACTTTTTACATGTCCTGGACTAGCGTATTTTCCCATGGGCTTATTGCTACATGTGGTTAATAAAAGTACAGTATGTCTCTTTTCATGATCACCTTTACCAGAGAGATGACAAAATTCCTGCAGAACTTTTAAGAAGTACTCTAAAAAGAAGTCTTTTGCAATAATGATATACATAGAGTAATCTCAAGGATTTTCCCTGATGGAAAAAATATATTACTTACCACTGAATTAGACTGAGAAGCCTTGTATACTATATAACATGTTCCAAGCATGCTCAATGGAAAGATCAAGCCTTGTAAATTGGATGATGGTAGATAGATTGGCATGTGCATGAATCAGTCTTTAAAAAATAGAGCTCAGGCTGTTTCTTGGAATAGTAACATTTTGATGTCTTAAATACTCTGACACTGTTTTCATAAACGGAGAATATAAACCATGTGCTGGGTGATGATTTTCTGAAAACTTTCCCGGTTTCATTGTGTATTTTATTGCAGGCCAAATGTGACAATAAATTTTATCCCCTGTGGCTTGTAGTTAAATACTTGCTCTGTTCAGAATAGCAACACTCAATTAAACAGCATTTTTCATGATCTACACCCTCTATTGTTACTGTGTTTAAGGGAAATAATGGGAGCACTGACCTATATTGCGTTTCTTATTATCGATGGATATGAAGCGTATGCAGGGATTATTGGTGATGTATTGTGCAGCCCAGGGGACATCAATCTGTGTACCAGCTTCATAAAAGAGTCCCAGAGCGTAGCGAGATGAGTAGCTCACAGATTCCAGTTGCTGCCTTTGACTTCCATTAATTACTGCGAAAAAAAATAGACAATCACTTTTTTCTCAGAGCATTAAATTTGTGAATACTGTAGTTAAGCCGATTAATTTTCCCTTAAAACAGTACTAGAGTGCCCAAAGTCCATATTCCATTTAACATTTTAATATTTAAATCTAACTGATTGTACTGCCTTTCTGGGATATTTATTAAAGAATTTTAGTGGTACAGTACATAAAATGAGTCTCTGATGTAAAAAAAAAGTTACTACTACCGTATATACATTTTATTTTTTTCTGGCAGCCACTGACTTCCACATAGTGACACAGATACTGATTCTATTCAGCAAAACAATTAAGAACATGCTTAACTTTAGGCACATGTTTAAATCCTATTGACTATTAAGTACTATTGACTTCAATGGAATATGTAACTTAATTTAAAGTTAAACACAAACTTAAAATATTTTGCTGAAAATTTGAGTTAAATGTTATGCAGCATTGGACTGATGGGTTCAATCCCGTATGAAGGCAGAGGAAGACTGCACTGAGCACAGTTTAAAACTGAACAGGATACTATTTTATTTTTGATCTATTAGTGAAGCTAGCTGAGAAGAATAAATATTGCCAGGTGGCAGGCCAGCAAGAACATTGGCCCAGATCCTCAAAGAGATTTAGTTCTCAAACTTTCATTTGCTTCAGTAAGAGCCTGGTACCTATATAACTTTATAGATCTGGATGTCCAGCAGGTAGCAAGGAGCAATGGCCTCTACTAGCTAGGGTAAATGAGATTTTATTGGAAGTGTTATCATCAACTGATGCTTATGACTGCCACTTATAGCTCTGAAGCATAGTCTAACATGACTATTTACATGGCCAATAAGAATTTCAAATCCCAAAGCATGGGAATTACCATGTGCCTGAAGTAGACACCAAGGTCAGGTAGAGAAGTTCAGAAAGCCTGGGAAAGAATTGGTCTAAGTTACGTAGTTTTCTGTAAGGAGCCTAGGTTAGATAATTAGCAAACAGTGTACATGTTCACCCTTGGTAGGGGAGGTGGTGGGGCAGGGAGGGGGACTGCAGGATGCCTACACTGGCTGAGGCCTTCAGGTTGAGGGTGCTCCTGCATGCCTCCCTGCATGTCCCGTGAGCTCTCTGGGCTGCCAGAGACTGATGACTAAGCTAAGCACCCAGGCCACCCTGATTGGCTTCTAGGCATGGGCAAGCATGCCCTCAACCCTCTGCCACACCACCATGGATTCTCCCCTGCACCCATCCCTAGGCTTCCAAAAAGGACCCAGAGCGAGCACCCCTTCACCCTGAATTACACGTGCCTTTGTGTCCAGGGCCTTCCTGCACCCTGCCATGATGTCCCGCCACCTGTGCCCAAGCAGGGACACCCAGGCCCTGCGTCCCATCTTGTTTGTCCCCCTGCCAGTCTCTTGCTGGATGCTGTGGGCCATCACACACCACCAGCACTGACTGGTGGAAGCCGATTGTTTTGAGCATCTGGAATGATGAACAGTAGGTCCAGACCTTCTACATGTGCCAGGCCACTTTCATGGACATGGTTGCCCATATGACCCCCATCCCCACATCACATGGCAGGATGTCAGCATGTGGCCATCCCTCACTCCTGAGAAGTGGGTGGTCATCACCATCATGAAGCTGGCCACCTCCAGTAGTTACTACTATATGCTAACCAGTTCCATGTGGGCAAGACCACAACTGGAGAGGCCATCTGGGAGGTGTATCTGGTCATCCAGATGTTCTGGCCAACTGCTTCATCTACAACTTGTCAACCGACAGGAGGTGGTCACTGGCTGCTGCCTCATGGATGCCCATCCTTTGCCTACCCCAGAGTGTCCAGTCATTTGTCAGCCACAAAGGCTTCTCCTCCTCTTACAGGACGTTGTTGACCACTAGAGCCACTTCACGCACATCTTCACCAGCTGGGCAGGTAGGGCTCACAATGCCCGTATCTTCCATAACTTCTCATTCCCCAAGATGATGGAAAGTGTGTGCTATGTTCTTGGAGTCCCCAATTTCATTATTGGTGATGTCACTGTCCCTCCCCATATCGTTAGGGAATTGGTTTACCTAATCCTGCCCTGGCTGGTGGAGCTCTATGGGGGCAGCTGGACTGCTGGAAGGAGAATCACTGCCTAAGCAGGTATTGCATGACAGGGGAGTGTGCCTTCAGTCACCTCAAGGGGCACTGACAGACTCTCGGTACATGGCTCAAGGTGGAAGAGAAGAACCTGTTGCGGCTTATCATCAGTGTGCACGTCTTCCACAAAAACTGAGAGACCAGGGGAGAGGTCTTCTGCAAAGCCTGGGCAGAAGAAGCACAGCATGCAGACTGGGCATAGCAGGTCATGCAGACTTGGCACAGGGATCGGGGAGAGAGTGAGCCCCCTGATGTTGGGATGCCAGCCCCACACAGCAATGGGCTGTCTGGATCTGCGAAGTCCTGACTGACTACCTCCTCACTCTTGGGCTAAGTACAGACAGTCAAAAAGCCTGAGGATGAATCAATTCAATCTTTGTAGGTTAATTTAAGCTGCATAGATTGAACCAATAAGCAAGTGAAAAGACATTTACTTTTGATTTCAGAAATGTAGCTGCATACCTGCAGTGGCTCAGGTCAGATGGTGGGGGGCAGGAGGGAGGGCACTAGAGTATGCCTCCTTGCTGGGCTAGAGCCAAAGCTTGTTCACCCACCCTGCGAGGGTGGGGGAGATGCAACGCATCCTGGGATGCTGGAGGACCACGTGTTAACTTGAATCTGGAGGGGATTTGAGATACTAATTTAATAAACAGATTTAATTTAAATCAGTTAAGTCTGATACTACATCCATACAAGTTTATCTTGAACTAGTTTTGGCCATTTTGAAAGGGATTTATGTGCACTGAACTTCTGTTGCATTACAGATTTGAACCGGTTTCTGACCACTTATACAGGTTTATGTGAAACTTCTGTCTCTAGCCTTGAGGACTAGGAGCCCTCCCTGGATGAGTTGGGCTGGAGGCTTTGAGTGCCCATGCCCTGGCACAGGGCCATGGATCTCCTCCCCTGGCATCTGGTCAGACAACTCCTTTGGCCATGTGTTCTGGGCAGCGCTTCCCACAACCCAGGCTGCCTAGAAACTGTTCCCCTTCTACTTCCCCTAGGGCACACACCTGGATCCAGGAGAATGCAAGGAAGTTGTGTCTCAGTTTATAAGGTTGCCACAGCCACACTTTTCTCATTTTCAATAAAGAAAATCTGTTGAATGTTGCCCATGACAACTTGGTCCCTCTTCTTACTGACGCAAACCAGGAAACCTTTGGAAGGGGTGAGGTCGTGCCAGGTGGTGGCAGGGAAAGTTTGTGAAAGGGACAAAATAACCTGGAAGGGATGGTTAGGAAGGGGAAGGAGAGGAAGGGGAAGGAGAAGGGGGAGGGACTTGGGGTCCAGGAGAATGCTGCATGGGCTGAACTCAACAAACAAAGCCTTAGAGGGGAGGTACAGGATAGGGGGCTATAGACCTACCACACTCATTTTTGGATTCCAGAGTGAAGACCAGGGACTTCTCTGTGTAGGAGCTAGACAGGTATGTGATCTTGGACTCCCTGTCAATCTGAGATAGCTGCAGGGTGGGGGCAGGAAGTGGCTGTGGGGTTGAGGTGGGAGGGCAGCAGGGTGGGAGGCAACACCATAGTGGGGGCTGTGGACTCCTGGCTCTCCCTCACATAACCCCCAGCTCCTTGGACCTCACACCCCATGACTCAGTCTCCCCCTTTGGGGACTTTGGCCCCATTACCCTTGGCCATGCCTGGGGCTCATGTCACATGGCAGAACCAAGCCCAAGTCTGTTTAATCCAACCAAGGCTGTGCCATTCTCTTGCAGCAGGACCCAAGTCAGGATGGGGACTGTGGTGAGCAGAAAAGTTCACCCCCAGGACCCTCACAGGATGGGTAGATGAGCTCAGGCCAGTAGGCTCTGGTGTCACAGTCCCAGTAACAGCCTGGCCAGGCAGGCTGACAGGCTGAACTCTCCCCCTGGTGCTTCCTGCACCCCTTCAGGACTGTCCTGGAACCGCTTGGAGGCCTTGCATACATGGAGTAACCATCAGGGCTGGGGGAGAGCAGATCAGTTCTGGAAAGACGGCAGTGTCCCTGACAGCCCTGGCACCGGGGCCCAGGCATCCCAGTCCTACTACCTTCACCCACCACTGCCGACCAAAGCAGACCCCACCTGGGGTCTTTCTGCTTCCCTGGACCATGGGTCACTGGCTCTGTCATGGCACTTCTCCTGTCCTGGATCCCACTCCATTAGCTCCCAGCTGGCATCCAGAGGTCCCTCCTGTGGGACCCCCATTCCTGTTGCCCTGGGGAAGAGCTCCTGGCACAGGGCACAGCAGTTGTAGGAGAAACCAAACAACAACATTGTACCAAAATGAACGCAAACCAAAAAGCTATCAAAGACAAAAATACCCAGTTACCTGTGGGGGCACATTTCTCACAAGACAACCACTTTCTCTCTCCAGTCTCTGAGTTTTAATCCTTAAAGGGAATTTACAAAACACCTTTCGCAGATGAGCCTACAAACTCACTTCATAAATCTACTGCATACAAAAAATCATGGACTAAATATAGACAGTGACATTGGATTTATGGCACATTATAACCTGCCTGCCATCTGATAACCCCAGGTAATCCATCTGCATTTTACCAGCTATGTTCTATCACCAATTCTACACTCCTTTTCCACGCTCCTAACCCTCTCTCACCTATCGTCTCCCATTCCCTCAGATCCTCATTGCCATGCATTTCCATTTTCACAGACCTGCATTTAATATATTGGCTTCTATTCTACCCAGGAGAGCACACAAACACCAACAGATTCTCCCTATTGCCTGAAGAAGGGTGTTTGTTCTTGAAAGCTTGCAAAGAACAATTTTTCCAGCTATTTAGTTGGTCTAATAAAAGATATCATATCTACCCAAAGAACCTTTCCTGCCTATGTCCATAGACCAAGACGGCTATAACCAACAACCCTAAAGCATGGGACAAAGGTTTGGTATTTATGATGAAGTAAGCTCTCTGCTTATAAAACCTTATGCTGTACCTCTCTGATTTAGTTAGTCTAATCTACCTTGCTTTCTGCCTGACTGCAGACTAACACAGGTAAACTACCTCTTGCTATTTTTGTGCCACTAAAATACACAGTCAACACTTCTTTGGGATAAGAAATTAGCATATAAGAGATCTCCTGGTCTACGTAAAGTTCATCTCCTATTACAGATTCAAGAGGCAAAAGATCAACTACCAAAATACATTGTTTCACACTGAATTATAGCAACTTAATTAATTAAGAAAAAAATCAGTTAGCAAGTAATAAATAAGAAATGAATCAAGGAATTATTTAGCATATGGAGTGACTCTATCCAACAACAGTACTTCCTACATTTGCCTTGCATGTGCAGGCAACAGATCCATCTGGTAAATAATGACATCATTCTTCAAAAGGGAAAAAGTGATTTATTCCACGCTTGTTACTGTCATGCCCATAACCAAAACAATCTTCTTTCTAAAGTACTTAAGACACATCAAATGCAAAAATGATGATGTTATCTGGTCATGCCATTGTTAATAATGCTGCTGTCACAAACTCATATCAATAATAACTTTGTAACTGATCATCCCATCACATATTCTTTCTATGAACTGACATTCTCTCTTGTGTTACAGCAGCAACTTTAGAAAGAAAGGGCTCCTATACATGTGCAGGGAGGCTGCTCCAATGCATTGTGATTACAGTGCGTCAGAGCAGACACGATTAATCGAGTCTGCTGGAGTGTGGTAATTGTTGCACTCCAGCAGAATCCAGCATCACATGCATCAGTGCCCCCCCTCCAGCACATGGATAAATGCTGTGCAGTTGTAAATCAGGACTCCTGAGGCTGGTGATGTAACTTGGGAAATCCTGAATTAGGCAACATCAGATTAAGGTATGGAAGCGCAGTGTCAGGAGAGAATTTTAGAACTTGATACATATTCTAAAACTTACTTAACTATGTTGACTTTTCCTTCCCTCTACATGAAGCAAATCTTAGTTCCAAGTGAAGAGCAATAAGCAACAAACTGTAAACTGTGAAACCTGAAAATTATATATACTAGTAGTCTACCTTTACCCACATGTCCTGTATGTGTTTTCTAACACTTTTGGGCCAGGGGCTACATTTTAATAGCATTTATATATTTTATATAGGACCTAAACCAACAAGACTCTGGCCCTGAGTAAGTCTTCAAGCACTACCATTTTAGGTATAACAAGTCTAGGAAGTTTAAAGATAGGCTAAGTCTAGCACTTTGCCTTTTTAGGCTTAAAAAGATGATGACATCCCATAGAATGTGGTCTTTTCTCCAAAAGGAGAGTTAGAGGCTATTCTGGCAAGCCCCTGCACTAAGACAATTTATGTGGTTTCTGTATTGTGAGCAGCTTGTCCAAACCTACCTGCCTTTAAAAAACACAAAAACTGTCAGCAGTGGAAATCACTGTTCCAATTTCTAGCTGCTATTCATGCTACATCTGGTCAGACAAAGACAGTACAGCCTCTGCTCCTAAATACTCATTCCAGAACAGAAAGGACCCAGTATTACATTAGTTCTTACAATTCAAGATAAAAAGGACTCATATACTGTTCACTTGGTGCTCCAAATGATGCAGGGAAACCATCCCAAATCCTATGATCACCATGTAGCTGCGTAACACAGTTCCCTCTAGTAGCAGAATACTGGAATCAGTGGGTGTAACCTATTTTAGTGTGGTGTAAAAAAACATGCTAATACACTAATGCACAGTAAAAATAGGCTACTGTGCATTAAACATCACTAAAAAAGTATGTGCAAATGCACAGTAGGGCAGCCTACTGTGCATTTATTTAATACCTGACATTACAGGGTGCCTGTAGACATGCTGGGAGGATGCTCTGACACAGTG